TGGTGAAAAATAGCAATCTGTCAAGAAATAAACGTAGAAAGATCGATTTTAGAACAATCGAAATATTTTTTAATCAGTGAGTCTTATCGAGCAAATCTCAACAAAGTTTTCCAAAAGGTTTCACACATCTCTAAATTCTCATCGTCCACATAGTAGAACGCCACTAAATAGCAACATTTTTCAAAATGAAAAGACAACGATTTTAGGTAGTTTAATGGATCACTTTATTCTTCAATAGAAGAATGATAGATATATATTTTCAATATTGGTATGATTCCTATTGATTTTTCATTTTCTAAAATGAGTTTTCTGGAAAATCAAACGGAATTGTGCTTTGTAGAAAGTCATCGATTTGTGTGATTTTGAAATGCTGTTTGCCATTTGTAAATGTTTCAAAATGGTAGAGCTACCACAGTGTTGATTTTCTTTAACTTGGAGTTTATTTCTAATTTTCAGTGGAAGTTCTTTCTTGTGATTGTAGTGAAAATATGACATATTTACTTATCAGTTTGATTGTGGCGATTCTTATACTTAATACTTATGTTAACACAGCCTATCGACGCTCCGCCAAAGCGTCAAAATATATGCTGGCTGCTGAAAAATTGGGATTTACTGGCTATTATAAGAACAACTATGGGCAGGTCACCACGGAACAACACCAAGAAGCGCTATTGAAAGTGTTCCAGTTAGCTGGTTATTTCAATTTGTCTCTATTGTGGCGAGATTTGAATTCTATTGGTGGTATTGAAAAACTCGAATGTGCATTCGAAGAATTATCTGCTGTTGTTCAACAATGTAAAGCGGATGTAAGAGGGCACGATAAATTTGATGCAAATTGCATGCGCATGAACTTATTCAACAGCGACATTATCGATATTCAGGACGTGTTAGACTTGATACTTTATATAGCACAACATGCATTTAATCGACAAATCGGGCAAGAACGCTATGAACTTAGTTCCTACGATTGGATGAACACTTATGCAGATAAGTATGTTAAAGAAGCACAGATTCTGCGTCTCATAGATCGAGAACGTCCTTTACTACAGAACTACGACGGTGCATGGATTGCGGGAGCCTCTCGCATTGGATTATCAAAACGAATTGTTGATTACATTTCTTACATTATATCCAAAAATATTACAATCAACGAAGAAACACTCGTTTTAGCTGGTGAACGAGAACTTTGGGCCGACATTGACGGAATCCCACCAGAAATGAAAGATAAACTGCTGCAAGCACTGCATAATAACGTTGATATCGATTCTTTCTCTCGTTCGCCTCTTTCAGATGATAAATCTACTTTAATCACTGAAGGGAAAGAATATATGTTACATTTGGCACAATTTTATAATATCAGGCTGAATTCAACTCAACCATTCATTCAGTGTAAAAGTAAAGAGGAATGTCCGCCCGATCGGTCACCGAATAGGGTTTATGCGAATTATGCTGCAGATGAAAAGTTGAAACTAACGGAAACGCTCATGGCCCAGGACTTAATAAGAACTTACTCGAACATCATTGGTGTCGCAAACATAAGCATCATTGACACGTTGGCAGAAGCGCATGTTCGACCGAACACGGCATCCACTGCTCGTGATGCAGCTGATCGATATGTAAAGCGTATTATTGCCGGCCATTATGGCAAGAAAAAAGATCTTATCATCTTATTTTGGACAAACAATCCTTATATAGAACGGCAAACACTGAGTGCTCAACGACAAGTCAATCAAGTATTGCAAAATAATGGACTGACTGAGAAAGGTGTGCGAATAATACTGGAAGGTGTCGGCTTTTCCAATAACGAACCACTAACAGTTGTACACTCAGAACTTGGCGCATTGATAGCAGAGAAATGGAGGGTTGCTGTCGCAGAGGTAGAACAATCGACCGGAAAGAAACCGAAGCGTAACGTCAACGATTTATTGTTTCAAACTCGTCAGAACAACGCTACTGTTCCAGCACAGCCTCGCATCAAAGAATGATCTTCAATCTAATTTTATTCTAAGAGTAATTGAAACTGTTTTTTCGTTAAGCGCTCTAGAACTTCTTTCGTAGCTTCGCCAATGGCCGAAAAAAATTTGAATTCTCTTTTAATTATGAAGTTAGATTGCCTCAGCTGAGCGGTGTGGGTGTGGGTGTAGGGTGTGGGTGTGGGTGTGGGGTGTGGGTGTGGGTGTGGGTGTGGGTGTGGGTGTGGGTGGGTGTGGGAGCTGTGGGTGTGGATTGTCTCTTAAACAATACCCCACATCCACACCTACCCACACCCTCAAGCCATTATAATATGCATTATTACATTAATTATCCTTTTTGGTATGCATGTGCATGAAATCATTTATTATACAGTTATTGAACATCATGCTAGTAACTTATATATATGTGTAGTAAATCTCAATAGTCATTTGGTTTCAGCCTACACTCTAAAAAAAAAACGTTCTCCCGCAAACTGAACTCCCCTCGAAAACCGTTCTGGAAACCTAGAAAAGTATCCGGAAGGATTTTCGGACTGATACTGAGTTCCCCAAAATACCTTGTGGGTTTCCGAGTCTCCAGAAACCAATAGGTTTTCGAAAACACCGTTTCGAAAACTCTGAACCGTAGTCTCAGAAACTTTCAAGTATTTTCGAAAACCCTTCGGTTTTTTCGGAAACCGCTCTTGACTAAAAAATCCTCTCGGAAACTCTTTGAGTTTCAGATTTCTTTTCATCGGATACCCTTTTGAGTTTCCGAGTAACAAAAAGGATGGAAAGGTTTTCTATCAGACTTGTAGGGTTTCCGAACAAGCCTCGAAAACCTCTTAGGGTTTCTGGATATTTCAAAAACCTTTGAATTTTCGAGGAAAGACGTCGAAAACCCATCATGTATTGTGGAAAACCGAAAATATGTTTCGTATATGTTTTTTATTCTCACATTTTCATCGTACAATTTTCAAGCTTATAAGTTAGTCGACATGCATGTCATATAAAAAATGAAGCTGAAAATATGTCGCCAATAACGCTAAACCAAATAACCAAAAAAATCAGTGCGAGCATCACGTGCTCCACATTCCAAACACTTAATTTTCTTACGCTTCAGCACTGAAAGATCAGTGGCGGGTAAAGGGAGAGAGCCCATGGGACTGTCGGTGCCGTTCACGAAAATTTTTTCGACCTTCCCCAGCAAAACCGAGCGAAAACATGAGTTTACACTGCTCCGGTGACCTCAAGAAGCAGTTTTCACCTTGACGCCTTCCCTTCCTTCAAACATCCTACCTCGATACTTTTCTAATACATCAGAAGATTCCGTATTTTTCACACGAAATAGTGCATAGTTTCGTAGACTATTAAAAGGTTTCGCAGGTTTAGTATGGAATCTTCTATGGTCACTTTAAATGCTAATAGATTCTGTGTGTTTTGTGCGAAACCATACTCCAAAAGTTGTTACCGAACTCTAAAAGTTTTGTACTTTTCCTACGGAACTTCTTTTAACTTCAGCAGAATTCATAAAGTTTCGCAATTTTAGCACGAAACATTCTGCAGATTCCATCATTCTGTTCATGGTTTCGTATATAATAAACTGAAATTTTGATAGCCTCGCAGAATTTTTGAAGGCATCCTAATATGTTAACGGAACCCGTTCTTATTTTCATTGTCAAAGTAAAGGTTCAGCCTTTTTTCCGCAAAATCACCGATAGTTCGGCAGAAAATCCAATGGTTTATATTATCTGTGCAGAACTATTCGCCACTCTATTAGATATTTAATAGTTGCGTGCGCTTTATAAGAAACTTTTGATAGTTCGTAAACTGTTAAACTAGATGGATGTGGAGTGTTGGTGTGGATATCTCTTCATTCATTCTCATACCCACACCAACACCCTTGATAATTCATTCGATCAGTAAGAGAACACTCTGTTGCAAACATTAATATGATTAAAATAAGATATAAATATTTTTCTTTCCTCATATAGAGCGTCCTCTTTTTTTTTTGTATAGAGGCTTGACCTAATTTTGATTAATTCGTTCTTTGAGAACTTGCTTTAAATAATCCAATCAAATTCACAATAATGAAAATACCCATATTCAATAAGTGTTAAATCTATAGAAATAACATTTAATGATAACTTCTTTAATTGAAATATCTTTTAATTTGTAGATGAATATTATCGTTTCATTTGTACGAAAATTAAAAAAACAAGTAATACATGTTTAAAGAAATTCTGAAATTCAACTATCAATGTTTAGACATTTGACTTGAATTATTTTGTTCGATATCAATTGTTATTCAATGAAGTTTTAATGAAATTCGAAAGAATTCCAATGAAGGTTTAGTTGTTTATTTTATTGATTGAATTTTTATTAAATTCGAATTTAGATCAATTATTTAAATGATTTATTAACATATAATAAAACACAAAGAATGATTTATGATTATCAAATATCAAATATGGCTTCTTGTGTTATTGACAGTAAATGTTTTTTTTATAGATTGTATTAATGAACATTATATTTGTTTTTCTTTTACAAAAAACTAGATAATCAAAAGAACTCGTTGCTTTATAATTCAGTTCTTTTCTCCAAAATCGATTCAACTTCAAATGAACGCGAAAAAATTCTAGATAAAATTCGATTATATCGAAAACAGTCAGGAAATAAAGTTGTAGTAGGAAAATCATTAACTATGGTAGATAAAGAAATAGTGGTTAGATATCTTATTCAATTTTCAACATTGATTTTTAAAAAAATCACATTTTTATTTTTTTTTAGGAATTTGTAGTCAATGATAAATCTCATCCTCAATCGACAGAAATTTATGCCGAACTTAATCGTTTAACGATTGAACTTCTTAAAGATGGTTATATATTTGATTCACGTTGGATCAGTCGTAAATTACGAAAAGGTGAAACTGTTATATCTGTATTATGTAGTCATAGTGAAAAACTTGCATTAGCTTTTAATTTGATTCAAAAACCTATTCCATCTCTTATTAATATAAAGAATAATCTTCGTCTTTGTGGTGATTGCCGTAAGTTTATTTTAGTCACGTTTGACAATATATATATACGTGTATATTTATGTATTTATTCTGTAGATGAATTCATGAAACGAGTAGCTAAACTTCGACAATGTGAAATTCTTATTTCTGATGCAAATGGTATTCATCGTTTTAAAACAAATGGTGAATGTTCTTGCAAAGATCATTTCTGACACTTTACTTCTTGTTTTTTGTTTTGATTTTTTTGAAAATAAAATGTTCATTCTTGATATATGATTTAGCTCAAAAAGGATCATTGATTTTCTAACACTTGTATATTTTCTAGTAATTTTCTCTATTAACAACGAGCTTACTCTTGCTTATCATACAGTACTGTCTAAACGTATTCCTACGTCTAAAAATATGACCATTGTTAACTTCATAATTCAAAGATACAATATCTTTTCTAATCGTCTAACCAGACGTAAAAAATCTATGCGTGTGCATGAACGATCATTTGTGATAAATCTCGGAAACTTCTACGTATCTGGAGGAATTTTTTGAGGAATAGTGGGTACTCCATAGTAAATGTCTCACTTTTATTTTCTATCTGAGAAGAAATGAAAATATCTTCAGATTTTATTTCTGATCTTGTTGCATAGAGAATTCACATTTCAAAAAAAAAAAAAATTAGTATATTATTTTGGAGATATCTTTCATTTAACTATGAAACTTATGATATTAAAGTATAAGGCATTATTAAACTGCGATTTCTAATTTTTCTATAGGGTAAAACACGCCGTATGTGACAGTTTATTCATAGAGATCAATGCTCAAAGATAAGTATTGTGCATTAAAAGATAAAGAGTCTTTTGCAGTACATGCCGATGACTTTAGTATCAATATGTTCCATAAGAAAGTTTGTCTAGGCTAGTTTGAGAATGGCTTAATCTACTGATCTGTCATTTGGTTTACAAGAAATTTTTCGATGTGGTATTTCTTTTTACCTCTAAGAAGTTTTCTTTGAAAACCTCGAAAGTTGGGTTCCTAGAAAATCCTGGTTTTTCAGCTATAGGTAACGAAGAAAAAGTTTTGATAATTCAAGTTTCTAGTAGATAACTTAAATTTTTAAATTTAATTTCACAATTTTCAAATTTCATTTGTTAAATTTTGGAATAGCTCAGCCAATATAAGTGATTGAGATATCATTCGAACACCATCGGATAGGCAGTTAAAAACTGAACGAGTGTAGAAGTTTGCAAAACTATCATTATACAATTCGGAGTTAAAGATTTTACTCAAATTCTTTCTGAAATAACTCGGAAAAATTGAAGCATACAATAAAACCTCGATTTTTTCGAATAGAAGTCTGCGTTGGATGTCATTCAATAGAGCAGATCACGATGCATATGCACAGGTAATTTCATTTTTCTACAATCATTCTGGATGTCATGGTGAATTTTCTAGGTTTCCTAGTTATTCTGTCTTTTGGAAATAACGACTTTCAATACTCTGTATAAAGGAAACAACTTATAAGGAAACTATAAGTTGAAAATTTTTCAGAGAGCTAAATTGTGCGCAACAGGACCGATTCTAGATCGATAGCTAATCAAAGTTAAAGTTGAGTGTGAGGTGTAGATGCTGATCTACTCATGGTTACAATCACAGCCACACCCACCCACCTTGAATAGAGCGAGACATGGCAAATGCTCTATGTCTGGAAATTTTTGACACTGGATTCCACAGAATGATCAATTCTTGTCGATGTAATACAGAAGTATTTGAAAAATTCTTGATCTCTTTCTGAAGATTGATAACATAAATCCGCTATTTTTCACAGACTGCATCTTCCTGTAAGTTATCGACAAACTTCAACCAGCTGAAAAATCAGTTTTGTCTTTAAAGCTACATAATTCTATCGGTAGGTGTGTATGTAAGTCAAGCTTCCTGTTGGCCACTGTTCTCTTTTAAAGATTCAGTTACCTACAAGCGACACCCACAATCTTAAATAAGTCCTTAGTATCATAATCCAAAAAGAGCAAATAAGATCAAAACGTATTTGTCAAGATTTGATATTATCATTCTTCTTCTTCAAATATTGATTGGTTCATATATCGATTGCAAAGTCTTCCTCTATTTATCTTATTCAATATTGAGGAAACTAAGCAATGAAATGGAAATAAAAACTATCTGTGAATATTGTTACAATCTGATTATACATATATCAGAGTCCTAAACAAGCCTCTAAGTCTGCCTGCCTGCATGTGACAAGTACAAGTCACGTTGTTTATGTATAGTCTGTGATAGCAGCCCAAGTAGACCTTACAACAGGCTAGACAGTCTGTATGAACTGTCTAATTTTCCTTTAATACCAAAGTTTTTTTCATAAGTTGAAAATATCTTGGCTAAGTAGAATGAGTGTGGGTGTGGATTTAATTCTTCTCTTCAATAACATCGACACCCTGAATTGAGAAATTCGACAGCTAGAGAAAAGAGAAAACAACATATCTTTTTATTAGGCATTGATTAACTATGAATATTTCAAATGTATTAATTTCGACTATGACCTTTGATATGGATTGTATGTGACTGATCTGCCGGAATACGTAATTCTACTTATAATTGCTATTATTTTCTCAAATGACAATCGCCAAAACTTCCAATCCATGGAATTTGTGTTAATCGATGTAAATCTCACGATGGGCAATAATAAGATGCATATGGATATGATTTATAGAAAGTTTTGATCAATAAAATATGAAATGGATGTTTGCCTACTACGGCTTCAATTTTATCTTCATCATCTGTTAAATAATTAATTTCTTGTCAAAGACAATCATTGAGTTCAATTGTATCGATAACAATGGGTGGGTGTGGGTGTGAATGTGGATGAAGTGAAAGTATATGCCCACACACCCGTACACCCACCTTTCCTCTAATCCGAATCAACTGTCTAATCAGTCCAGACAATTTCCAAACACTCTCAGGATCTTCTGGAATGCTTTTATTAATAATTGAATGAAGCCGAATTTGAAGATCGACTCCCAGCTTAGCCTCTGTTTCTATTAAGATTTTTTCACTTCGATTAGCTAATATAGTTGTTAGCTGATAAGTCATGAAACCATTCGTAAGATAATGTCTAGATTCAAGTTCATTATAAATTTGCTCAGATTTTGCTTTGTTTTGATGGAAAGCACTACTATCAACAATAGCCACGCATTCTTCTATTACAAATGATTTCTTCTATATTAAAGCGACAATCTCCATTGGATAATCGAATTACAGCTATAACATTATTAATTTCTTCTTTTGTTAATACTATTGCATTTATTGGAACCACGGTGGGATCGTTAACATTATCGATATGAATTAGGCTTATTTTAGGAGCTTGTTTTTGATAGCACAACGATATAAGATGCTGAGCCTCAAACGTAGAAATCAGAATAAAACACACTTTTTCATATGTTCTATGAATTAAAATCATGTTAACAGGTTTCAAATAATCGGTTTGATATCGTTTATTTTTGTTCATATATGTGTCGAATTGTTTTGATAAAATTTTCTGTCGCAAAGACTTTGTTATACTATTTAAAATTTTTCAGATCATCAATATCGGTAAACTCAAAACATCTTCTTAATTCTTTTAGGTTTGGTTAGTCATTCTCTTCTTTTAATCCTTTTTCTTTAAGATTTTGGTCAAAGATCGTATCAAAATTCCAAATAACTGCGGGTGCCAGTGTTTTTTCTACTACCAGAGTAACTTCAGCATGCTGCATCTCTTCAATCTCTCTTTCATTTTCGTGATCACACTTATAATCAGTATTAACAGTTGATATTCTGCTAGGAAGTTTTTGATCTATTGCTTCTAACAGTTTTTTCGTTTTTGGTCAATCGACATCATTTCGATTTTTATCAATCCCCTCAATCAATGCTAAAGATTACCTTTTCTTTTCTAGTTCACTTTTAAAACGTGGGTAAAAATCATCTAAATAAGCACTTACATTTCGATTTAAAAGATCTCTTGAATTTCGTTCCTGAGAAGTAGTATCATAAAGCTTTCACTTATATATGCTATAATGAGAGAATCCATATGAACATCTTTAACTTTATTTTGATACTCAAGTGCTTTACATTTAATTACGTATTTTAATTTCTCTTTCATTGCAAAATATAAATCATTTTCATTTTTTCGAATATTCTAGGTGATCCATGTTAAAACATGTTTACTTGTTATATCTTTTTGTTGAATCCTATTTATTATTGCAATCTTTGCTGAGATTTCCTCTGAATCTCATATCACAATCAATTGCTTAAAGTCGAGATCACGAAGACGCATAACTGCTTGCATAAGTTTATCTTTATTCATATTCCTTCCAAGTGTTACAATGATATGCGCAATTAATGATAGTTTCAAATCAGATCCATGAGTATGAACTTCGTCTAGATAAACAAATAATTTCTTATTATCAATATGACACGTTGATAATGATAAATATTCTTTATTTCTCAAAATTACCACTATTTTATTACTTTTATCAATGTTGTTAATAAGATATTCGGATACATCAAAATTACTCATTTCTGTAATGATAGCGTCTGTATCAATTAGAATGTAGCAATCCTTATTTTCTTTCACATAGTTAGAAACTTGATCTAAAATTTTCTTAGGACTAGATATTTCTATTTCGGACTGTTACTTCTTATTTATTTCTCTTGATAAAATATGCAACATCTTTCAACTTGTTCCCTCTTGAGATGGTAATCGTTTTGGAATAATAGACTGAAGCATGGTATCATTACAATCATCGGTATCAGAAAATCCTTTTTTTTTGTAGTGTTTAGTGTCATTTGGAAATGTGAAATTATTTAAATAATATTGAACAAAAATAAAGTTTCGAGAAAGATAAAAATGAGCTTTTTCAATTCTATCTTCATTTTCAAGATCAAGAGTTTTGAAAGATTTGGACCATTCTGGATCATCCTCTTTTTCTTTGTGAATTTGTTTGTCAATCCAAGTTTTTTTTTCTTGAATCCATAATAGTAATAAACTATCTCTATCTTATTTCAGAATATTTTTTAAGTTGAGTAATCCGTGTTTTACTTGTTTTATATCTAATCCTTTATATAAGTAACTGAGGATTGTAAAACCAATCATAATATCAGGATGATTAAACTCTGAATTTTCGGATGGGAAATCTTTTCCTCGAAATCAAATGGCAATTTCTTTTTTCTCTCGTTTCAAACCATTTATATTCTACTCTGTAACGCTAATCGAAGTAATTTTGAGAAATCTTAGATGAGATTTTTAAAAAATACTTATCATATTGCATCGTCTCTTCGTTTTCTTCTTGTCTCTAAGAATAAAATCAGTTACCCAATGATCACAGAAAAGTAAAGATGGCGCAACATGAAATCTGTCAAAGAATATATCGAAAATTTTAATGAAACGAAAATTTTAAAAAACACTACGATTTGGAAAAATTCAGATGATCTGGCAACCCTGGGTTTAGACTTGTTCTATCAGATAAATATTATTTCAGTGCGAAGATGCAAACTTCTAATTTGTTTATTTATATGTTGTGATAAAGAAAACTAAGAAATTCAGACAATAGTAAATCCACTAGCTATGTCCTTATGGTTCATAGCAACGTCTTTTATCTTATTTACATAAAGTGGTATACGTACTAGACCAATTGTAGAATTATGCGATCAAAAGATATCAAAACTTGTCATTGTGTATTCTAGTATCCATCTTCTTTTTTTGTGATGTTATCATTCTCTTCACTGTATTCAGTAGAATACATCCATCGGGTGGTCCAGATAAAATCGGACACTTTTATTTTGATTATATCGCCTGTTCTTTTTCGGCTACAAAGTCAATTTTTTTGAAAATATATTTACCGTGAAATTCGCTACAAAACTATATATTTCTATTTAACGTAAATAGCTTGCATCATTTTAGAAGACTCTATATATTTGTTTACTCCAACTTTCAACACTTTTCTCTTAGAAGATTTTTACGAATTTTTTTGGATCTAGTTTAAGCTCATCAATCGAGGTTGATTTGAATTGTACTCGATCTCAATCTATTCACTGATTAAATTTATCTGAAACACAGTAATGTAATGAATTTATATGAGAACTATTTGCCGGTCAACGTTCGCATGATATAATATTTGCATTTTATCATCGCACCATTTTTCAGTATTAATACGTATGTGTGCGCATATTATCGTGTTGATACGTTGTGTAGTCGAAGTTTCAAATAAATTTAATCAGTGAATAGATTGAGATCGAGTACAATTCAAATCAACCTTGATTGATGAGTTTAAACTAGATCCAAAAAAATTCGTAAAAATTTTCCAAGAGAAAAGTGTTGAAAGTTAGAGTAGACAAATATATAGAGTTTTCTAAAATGATGCAAACTATTTACGTTAAATAGAAATATATAGTTTTGTAGCGAATTTCACGGTAAATATATTTTCAAAATAATTGACTTTGTAGCCGAAAAAGAACAGGCAATATAATCAAAATAAAAAGGATGCATTTAAATGCACTGGGAAAAGAAATCAATGCGTTTAAACACGTTGAACTTACAAAATGATGGGTTGAAACGCATTTTTATACCAAATTTTGTTTTCATGGGTATGGACATTTATTTTTGCTTTTTCGCAGCTGTATCGTTGAGTCGTATTTTGATATACTTCGTTGATGAATGACTCACGTAAAAAAAATGAACGTTTCGTACTTTTCGGAACTTTAAGGAAATAATGAAAATACCGATGTGACGAAAACTGACGCTTTACCCACCATCTTTAATACGCATTGTAGATATAGAGTTATATCAATTTAAAAAAGAAAATTGTCATTCCTAATTTGATTGTTTATCAGTTTGAGCACGCTGAACTTGTCAAAATTATCAGCATAATATAAAAATTTATCCTGGCTCAAATCTTATCTAAAGTGTTTATGATGATTTCTCATTGCTCAGACCTTGTATATTAGTTTTTTTGCCTGCTTCTCAGCTGAATACTTGCGAACATGATTTATATCATGTTTCTTATTGTCAAATATTTTTTTTTTCATTAAAAAAGAGAAAAGAACATTCTCAGTCACGAGAATGTGTTTTTTCTCTAGCTGTGTGAAAGTTACTAGCTGTTGTTGCCGGTTAATCGACAGTTTTTACGACATAGGTAAGCACTTTCTTAAAAAAAAATTTCTATTTTTAAGTCACTGTTCATGTAGTTATTTCGCCGTAACTTTAGTACTTAATAATCACTGTTCTATACTTTTTTCAAATACGGAGATGCAATAGTTTGACAATGTCATTTCGCATTTTAAATGGATATTCATCAATCCTAAAACGTTTCAATTAGATAACTTCGTTTTAATCTATATTGACTCAAATTTCAGTACTTTTTCGTTCTTATCTATGCATTTGCAAACTGTTATCTAATACATAAAAAGAAAGTAAAATAAAGACATGTGTCTTCTATATAACCATTTATTTAATAGGATTGTTTTTTTTCCACCGATTTATCATCTGTGAGTCATCGCATAGTGATTCTTTCATATCAACATTTATTTGAGATTTTAGTTACTTTAAAGGTGGGTTGTAACTTAAAGAAGAACTGCACTCAAATTCACTCTCATATTATACGTATAGTTCTTTAAATCAATCTGATATTGAAATAGTTCAGTTATATGATTGTTATTGTAATTTAACAGATTGTTTATTTAAAACTTCCTCAAAAATCGATCTCACTCCATGTAGAGTCACATCAACAGAGATATTCGCTAAACAAGAGCCAAAAATACCTCATCGGGCAAGTAAAGTTTTCTTAGCTAGGAGTGGATGTGTAGGTGTATTGTCTCTGGAAGAACGCCACACAAATATGTACTCATACTCATATTCAATTTCACACTCTCAGCTATTTGCTGGAAATCTTATGAATTTATTTCATCTTACAAAAAAAAGAAATAATAAAGACAGGAGGATATTCAAAACAAAATATTAATAATGCTTGAAATTCATGTTTATTATTTATTGTTTGCGGCGTATTTAAACTTTTCGAATTAGAATTCCATATGGATGGATATCTTTGTCACTAGGACTAATCCAGTAATCACCAATGCCAGTTTCAGCAGCCGATAATTTTACTAATTGTTCAGGATTCACACGATTTTGTAGTACAACCATATATTGATTTCCTTCATGTGAAAATTTGACTGCATATTTTTCTGCCACATTTACGTCAGGAGTTGAATAAACGCCATGTCCAAAGGCATATGTTTTACCTCTCGTTAAATTGTAGCCATCCATCGCCATCGTTTTGTTTTCATTGAGACCAGTTCCATGATAAGAGACAGGCCATTCTCCTTCAGTGTTCTGGTGACCAAGCCATACCGAATTTTCATATTTATCTGTTACTTTAATAGCAAAGCGTTTCCAGCCGCAAGGACGAACATAATCGAGTCCACCTCGTTGAAATTTATGACTGTGATCATTCACATCTGTAAAATCGTAATCATATTGTGGATCGAGACTTGAAAGATCTAGCGTAGATGGAGCTTGAGTACGCATACGTGGAACCAAGTGTAATGTAGCTCCATTATGTATTCCATAATGGGTCAATGTTGCTCCATCTTCTAATTGTTTTCCAGCAAAAATGAGTCGTTGCTGATCAGCTGATATACCTTTCTTTTTTTGTATCATTTTTTTGAGATCCTCAATAGTTTTAGATGGATCTATTTGACAAGTGATATTTTCATCATTCGATTGTTTAACGTATATTTCTATCATGTTAGTATTTTCCATATTGCGGGCTGAGTAAGTATTGCCGACGCCACCAGATGAATATGTCGTGGTATGATGATTAAATGCAGAGAGTATATTATACGACTGGGACGATCTATTGTTCGGAACCAATTGCACGCCACTAAGGGCTGTTAGTGCAGCTTGAATTAAATCATGATCACTTTGAGTGTGACTTGATCTTGCCATTGTAAAAATCAGGATGAAATATACTAGAAAAATATGCATTAAAGATTATAAAACAAGAAAAAACATATGTTCAACAATCTTTAGTCTAGAACAATTTGATATTCCTCTTAAAACGACTGTATTATAGATAATTGACGACAAACATCACAAATTATTGCGAGACTCTTGTTTGAGAATATGATATATTATAAAGTTGAAACTTTGTTCAGCATTTAACCTCACTCATATTAATTTTCCTTGATTTCTGTGATTAGTTTACTATTTTCCTTTTGAATGAAAGTTTCTCTGATATATTCAATACTCTGTAGCCTATGAATGCATAACTCAACAATAATCTAAAACTAAATTTTATGCTAATCTATACGCCGTAGAGTTATCAACATTCTTAGCGGCATAAACATATAGTATTATCGATCCTTTTTGCATCATTCTAATGCATTAATGCATGCATATCTTTTTCGGGTTAATCATTTTGTGGAATCGATTTCTATCTTCGCTGTCTCTAGGGACTCATCAATACAGCATAACTCTAAAAACACTACTTCCTCTCAAGTCTTCACTGATGAATTAACACGAGTTCTACCTTAATCGGAATCTCTATCGAGTTACATAAAATTCTTGTCTATGTATCTGCATTCCTAATACAAACAGATTTATCTGTAAAATATTCATTTGTTTGTGTTGCTAGTTAAGATTTGACTTTGTAATGTTTTTTTGAGTCATATTCTGAAATACTTTTCATACTTATCTAACAAAAAAAGAACTCATGCTATGTAAAATACTTGCAAGTATAGTATTCACTCTCATCGAAAAAATAAGTAACTGTAAAGTGGCTGATGGCAGTCATCAACGGAACAGCAACATTCACAAACTCACTTGGTGAATTCGTCTTCTTATTCAGCGCAGAAACACATGACACCTGAAAATTTCGTCGTTTTTTTTATACACATACACTCAAATGAGAGTATTTATAAAGGTGACTAAGCGTAATATTTGATTACAATGTCTTCGCCGAAGCAAACAGCATGCATAAAAATATATTCGATAAGAATCAACATCCTTTTTTGCAAACTGCAAAGTAAATACTGCATGCTGTTAGAAATCAAAGGTAAAAGACAATAAAATAAAGTAATTCGACGGTCACATGTTTTCGTGTAAAAGAATGATGACTATCAATTATCGATGGCCCTGGAATCGGAAAGGAGACTGCAAATCTAAATCGAATTTACTCTTATCGTTAGAAAATGAAATATTCATATCTAGATATTTTCGATGTAACAACATTTGCATAAGGCTTGTTTCCCACGAAGATTTATTTACTTATGTTACATTCCCTTCATTAAATAAATTTGAAATCTTTGGCAATGTATGTTTGTTTTTCAATTTCTTTTGAGTTGCACGCATAATAATATGAATTCTATCATGAAGGATAAGAAATAAAACAAAAATTATCGATGTCTCTAAAGAAACGAAAATCGCCATGTAATAAACTACGAGCAACTTAAAATTTCTAAAGATGATGACACGTATACTCATTGCATCACAACTATTTAACAAACAAGGAAATTCATATTTTAATATTATTCTCTGAGTTAAAGTCAATCTATGATTTCATTTTTAATATTTTTTAAGTAATCGAACTACTCTAGTTCACAATTATTATTAAAAAAAAAACAGAAGTTTTTACTTGGTAGGAAAATAAAACAACTTCGAGTTTCTTCCGTTTTCATTCCAATAAGAATGAAGTACATTGCGATAAAAATAAATCAGACAGTCAATAAAAATCGTTCAACTATAAGCAATAATTGTCGATAATAATTTTCGTCATTTCAAAATGATTAAATCAAACGCGAGATATTTTTATAACGAAAAATAAGCGATAGACACATTAATTTTTTTTGCGCTAGGCAGAGAGAAAAATGGTACGAAAAGCACAGAACAATTATTTCAAAAGCAACAATATAGTAGCTTGGCACATCACGAATCATTTTAACGCATTACTCGTATCTGAAATGATATAATGAATGAAAGTATCGTATTATGAACAGTAAACAAATAAACTAATTGAAATATAATATAATCCATGAAACATTTAGTTTCTATCATATTGAAATTAATTTGAAGCCTACAGCTTTCTGCGAAATTTCATTGACATTATGTCAGACAACTGTTGTTTTTTTATTCTTGTTTTACCTACATGAGTTACTCAGAGACGACTAGAAAATTCGAAAAGAAATACTCTATACATAGTGTAAATTTATATCAAATAAATTTAGTGTTCTACATGATATGTCGAAAGGAATCACAGATATCAATATAGGTTTTACATGAAAAAAGAATTACTTATGAAGTATGTTCTCTTGTAGTTACTTTATTTACTTACTATTCATAATAAGATATTATTATTTTTGTGTACCGTCATCATAATAATCCTTAAATTTATGCAAAAAGATCATTTTAATTCTTTCTCATTTTACGTTTCATATCGATATTTATCGAATATAATTCACTGTCACATATTTCTTCCTTGCCTGAATGCTCTCACATAATAATTTGTATAACTCGTATACAAGGATAGATGTAGGATGTGCGAGTGTGGATGTTGAATCTCTTTACACACATCCACATCCACGAATATATGTCGACTTTACGGTCGTATACGTTCCATTTAAGTTAGTCATATTGTTCTACCTGAGTGAAGAATCGATCTCATACATACAATACAAACGAAAAAAGTCTTCGGACTATCATCAGTTATATTATTATAATTGAAACAACATGTTTTCGACTTGCATCTTATTTAAAGTTCTATTTAAAGAAATCTTCTTATCTCGAGTCGCCTGATATGTCCTTTTGTATGGACGAAATGTTAATGTCATCATAGCTAGGAGTCTACATTTTACGATAAAATCATCATCACCCTCTTTACCTCGATAATTCTTAGTGCTCCGAATACTAGGATATTTTAACTCATCAGATGCCAGATATTAAAACTATACGTTTGTCTATTTTACTTGTAGTAATACCTTTCTATTCATGTGCTTCGCATTTTTAAGTGTATACATGTTTGTGTTCTTATCATTTTTTTGTGCATTTAACTGAAGAGACTGTATTGCATTTATTACCGAAAGATAGTCGAAATGTATCCTACCAAATGTTTATTATCTCTGTTTACCGACCGATATCTTCTATGATGATAAAACATAATTTAACATCCAAAAACAAGTAATAGATATATTTTAATGAAGAAGAGACAGAAAGAAGACGACTACCCCACACATCCACGCCCAATCTTATGAAAAGCTTTTAATCTTCAGATCTACAAAAGGTGTATGTTAATTAACTCAATTGTTACAAAGGAAACTGAAGTTTAATGAAATAATAACAAAATATAATAGAAGATCACTAGGTAGAAAATAGAAAAACGTCGTTTTGTCTATTCACTGATACGTAATAGGACTATCAAGGAAAAATAACTATAGGACATATAATTTGATGTTTATCAGGAAAGTAAAGATAAGCATATACTCTGAAATTTTCCGATGTCACAAGAAAAAACTATTTTTTTCAACATAATTGTATATCTAAGACAAAAAATATAGCTCATAAATATATGAAAGTAGTTGATAGTTTTGATGTTAATCATGAATGAGATATATTCTGACAGATTTCAACTCTTGTTAAACATTATTTGAAATAATAATAAATCGAATAGAATTAATGGAATCACAGTTACCATGCAAGAAATAGAAAATCAATAGTAAGTCTAATTCTTTATTCAAAATTAGAATACACAACTCGTTTAATATACTTTGAGTTTGGAAGATGTTCCGTACTCATGTAAAAAAAAAAGTGGTAAAAACTGGATTAAAATCAATTATATTGCGATTTAAAATCAATTACAAGATATTTTCAATTGCTTCTACATGGAATGCTAGTTCATCTATCTTAATTTATAATTACTTATTAATCTATTTTAATCACACTCATCGAACATACTACTGTACTAAGTCATGTAAAGAGGATAATGTTGGAACACGTATTTAAATAGTTTTAAATTAAGATGGATAATCACATTAAAAGATCCATGAAAGTTGATTAAACTGTAAAAAAAAGATGTTTTAATTGATTTTTTTTTCGGATTAAAATCTACTGAAATTTATTAATTTTCATTGTATGTTAGATCTATATGGAGAAAAAAAAATAACTAAAAATCTGATTAAAATAAAGTTCTACAGCAAAAATCGATTTTTTTTTGAATTCTTTAAAAACGTTCATAGTAATGAGGTTTTTATTATAGAGTGGTGTTCACTAGTAGATGTCTTACTGTTTTATCTATTACTTATGAAAAATCTTGAGCAATCGACTATAATTGATTAAGTGCGAAGTGAATTTGAATAGATTAGATTTTTAATCGATTTTTTCTTATTTTTTTTAATGGATTATTTTTAAAACATAATCTATTGAAATAGGTTTTTTGCCACATTTATGCAATTATTGATGTAGAAGTCTATTTTGATCATTTGTTTTACATGGGTAATTTTTCCTTTAATTTTCTTTCTTTCGTAATAATTTTACGAGTTTAAAAAATAAATATTAACAGTCAGCTACTCGTTATTGACGAAATTATCTGTTTATTCATTTCATGAGGATACATTCTCATCTGCATGTTATGCTGGATGTATGCTTAAATCACATAGGTGCAAAATGAGGTTTATGAGTGGTTTGAAGAACTGCTTTAGACAAATCTGTAATTAGTTAACACTTCCCACAGTTTTGCCGTATTAGATAAAGTGCAGTGACAGGCAGATGTAATTAATCCTTTTACTGTTTTTAGCGGGTACACTCGTCAAAATGATCTTGATGCAAAATATAAAGATTAAGATTTCTTAGCTCTATTTCGATTCTAGCATCCTACACTGAGCGGAGTTCTCTGTACCATTTCTAATGTTTCACACCAATTATGTTCCTATGTTTCTGAGTATCAAAATTTATTTTGCGAAAAATTTATACTCTTGACGATAATTCCATAAGAATCAAGCTATAGCTGGATCCTTTTTTCAGAATGGCACCTGTTGAATCGGGCTCGAATTCAGCCAATATACAACTTCCAGATTCAACCTTGGTCAACAGGAATTTTTTTAGAACCGAATATTGGACCAATCTGACAAATTCTAATGTGAAAAATCTTCTCGTTAATTTGTACATTTCAGTGTGTCTATGAAAAGAATGTGTAGATGACAGGTCTATCAAAGTATTAATTAGTACTTTTTTTTAATGTTATATTTTGGATATTTGCTCTTGACTTCAACTAATAGCTGTTACTAAGATTCGTTCTAATATTCTTCAATTGATTAATTGAAGATGAATATTCAAGTTCTATCGGAATAGACGCATAAAAGAGGTTTTTATAGCTGAATTCAACTTTGGTCAAACGTAAAAATATCGAAAATGAAACTTTATAAAGATAAATGAAAGAAAGATTGTTCTGCTGGATATTGATTTATGGAATATATTTGGCTTTTTTAATCAGACAAATTATACTTGTGAAGGTGAAGTACATGATTCATTAACTCTATCATAATAGGATACATTCCTCAAACAAACTTTGGATTAATTAGTTGATAACGTGAGAAGATTTTCTATTAAAAGTTTATCTGATGAAAGTGCTGCGTATGTTAGTATAATCAATACAATAATCACCTAATTTCAGCAATTTGACTTCATCAACGGTTTATCTTTTGTCGTAGCAAAACAGTTATCATCGTCCAATAATGCAGATCAACTAATATTTTTAATTATTTTTGTTTGCCTTCATTCGTACGTATTTCATTGAATTTGACTGTTTGTTTTCCTAATTTCCTGATCACAAAAATATTTGGACGTCTTCCACTTAGTTTTCGACCGATGTTGAGACGATCATCTGAAGCTTTTATATTTTTTATTTTATTTTCGTTCAAAAAAAAAATATCGTGAAATCAAATAAAAATATAAGGAATTCAAAAAAATGTATGTAAAAAAAGTGTCAGGCTAACGAAATCGGTATGTTTAAGTAGTGCTTGATTACATATTTAAAAAAAATGGAATAAGTACAAAGATTTATTTAAGATGATCGTTGCGCTTGCTTACTATAAATAGAAAAAAAATTAAATCAATGAAATAAATAAAAGTTAGCTTACATAGTTTTTTTAGCTTAATCAGCACCATCGGCTCCAAGAACATTTGTTTTTTGGCTTGTTGAACTAGTGCGTTCAGTACTACCTGATTGTTGTGATGATGAACCGCTGCCTCTACGATCACCTGATTGTTGTGATGATGAACCGCTGCCTTTACGATCACCTGATTGTTGTGATGATGAACCGCTGCCTTTGCGATCACCTGATTGTTGTGGTGATGAACCGCTGCCTTTACGATCACCTGATTGTTGAGATGATGAACCGCTGCCTCCACGACCACGTGATTGTTGAGATGATAAACCACTACCACCATAACCACCTGATTGAGTATTGGTACCGCTTCCTTTTGAACCTTGAGAAGTGAGTGTACGTACAAAGCTTGTTTGTACCACTAAAATATCAAGTAATTATTTGAAAAAATAATTACAGAAATCAAGCTTTCTAATTACCTCGTGAACCAAATAAGAAAGTACGTGTAAGACTATTAGCCATGATAAGTAATAACCGTTAAATGAATAATAATAACAATAAAAATACGATATAAATCTAGAAGAAGATCGTTATATTATTCTATTTGCATCGAGAAAAGAAACGATAAAAATAAATACAGGTTTGATCGCATGACTATATACAGTAGTAGACAAAACTCCCGACCTTAGACGAAAACTATCTAATTAAGGGTTATTTTCTTTGAAACTTGTACCAAAGCAAGGACTTGGTGAGTTCCGATCACAGGCAAAAGCTCGAGTCCTGCCCTCTTACTCAGGCTGAGATATCAGGTCAACGCCAAGGATTTTTTCGTATTGTGTCATCTCGGGATAGGAAAGATATACAATACCACTCGAGTCATCATCAAAAAGCCCTGGTCTGAGTCTCCCTGTAGTAAAATTTTCATTGCAAGCCGACGTGTCTTCGTTAAGTTGTGATCTATATACCGCTTACACACGGAACTGGCCTATTGCAACCCTACCAGTATGCGACTCAAATCTTGAGCTAGGCTCAGCTGTTCGACCTGAAAATTTTACTCTAGACTACATAAGTATGGGCGAACTTATGCTAAAACTTTCAGCATTATAGCCTTTACAGAGATGGAGGTTCATACTGTTCTATACCTCTGGACCGACAGTTCTGGGAAATCACTAGGATACGGCAAATGTAGGCGACCTTTCTAATATAGGTATATCACCATCGGAACTACCTATTGCGCTAAAAATATTACCTTTATTTCAACAAATCGAAAAGTACCAGCATTTCCTTCGAATATCACATAATTTCGTCAATAAATATGAAGAAATAAATGTGGAAACCTCGGATTTAAATCCGAGAGTTATGTGTACTTCAAAAAGTGAATCAGTCAGATCAGTCATCCTAGAATGTGTGGACATCAAAATTGTCCTGGCAAGCCTTTTCTATAAACACTTGATTTCTATTGGCTACTGCTCAACCAATAGAATTTGGAGGCAGATACAGCTCAGATTTGAACTATTCACCTTGGTTTACCCTAAGAAACTCGCTTTTCCTATAACTTGATTTCTATTGGTCACTGCTCAACCAATGGAATTTCGAGGTGCATGGAACACAGATTCGAGTTCTCCACCCCAGAAAACCTCGAACTATCATCTCTGTGATCGAAAGATAGAGCTCTATTTATGGATCAATTAGAGCGTGGACAAACACAGAACCGAATTCCGTTTAATTATCTTTGCAATAGGTGAGTTAACTTTCTTGTTTCCTTATGTTTTATATATCATTTTGTAGCTCGTGAAATTCTCTATCGAATGGTATATAATAGTTGGGGTTTTATTTGACTATGATAGGAAAAGTTTTTTACGAAAACAGAGAAGGGTCTATCTTCTCATAGGGAAGCATAGGGAAAAATGACTATTTTTGCAATAACTCAGCCATGGCTCGGTCAATCATTCTCATCTTCGAACTCGACCGAGACATTGTTAAGACTAAACTGTGCAGAAAATTTCATCGCGATTGGACTCTTCTTTCAAACGTTATCGTGTATACGGCCGGACGGACGGCCGGCCGGACACACTGACCGATTCTAGAGTGTACTCACTTTTTGAGTACACAAAAACAATTGGCGTTGACTTAATATCTCAGCCTGAGTAAGAGGGCAGGACTCGAGCTTTTGCCTGTGATCGGAACTCACCAAGTCCTTGCTTCGATACAAGTTTCAAAGCAAATAACCCTTAATTAGATAGTTTTCGCCTAGGGCCGGGACTTTTTCCACGTGGTAATGCAACAACGCATTAAACTAGATTAAAAAGTACTTACACAAAAGGTAAAGTGTGTGATTTTTGAGTTATAAAATAACAACTAGAGTAAAATCAAGATAATATTTACAATCAATATGTGAAACTACGCCGGTGACGTACGTTAGCATATATCTTTTAACAAAATTTTATTTTTAAAAAGTGCGGCGGAGGTGTTTCCACAGACCAGATTCAGAGAAAATTTATTTTGTTAAAGATGATTTCCTGACTGAAATATAATCACTTTTGAGCAATAAAATCCATTTCGAACTATGAAATTTAGGCGTTTGTTTCCTATGTGAAGGATGCTAGTTTCGCCAAACAATCTTTAAAAAAATCTCGAAAAGAAAAAAAAACCTAGAAAATGTTATTCTATTCTTCAATCGTATGTAAGAATTCTATCAACTGTTTTCTGTTCTTTTCTGTACTTAATGAACCGGAGTGTGTTGGACGTTCGTTTGAACTATGTTTCCTTTTTTCTTTACTCTTAATAATAGAATTATATCATTCTGCTTCTATGTATTGTTATATTCATATATCATCGTTTCTATTCGACTGAGAAACGACATTATTTCTACTAATTCATCTCTATATTTTTAATTTAAATTTGAGTTTGCTTCTTTCTATCGAGAGTCATAAAAAAGAAGTTCTTTCTTGATGACTCATGTTAAAATTTAATAATATTGATTGAACGAAAAAGACCAAGGCAATTTTAGCTCTTAAAGTTCGTCTGAAAAAACACACGTCAAAGTATTACTTATCTTCACATTTTGTTTAGTTATCTAATGTTAGAAAATTAGAATGTTGATCAAAGTTTGATAGATCTCGATAGAAAGATAATCAGTTTATGTCAGACTAGTATCCGTAATATTCATCGAAGAAATATGTTTCATAATAGAGTAAATTGTTTCGTAGGGCCATCTATTACAATAGTTTGCACTTTTTTTTTCAATAAAAAATTTAGATTAAATTCAGAACGAACTTGGAACTTATCTGCTTAGTTTTCTAATTTTCTGAACGCAAAAATACTTAGAAGATCCACTCTTAGTTTTCAATTGATGTTTTGTTCTTATTCAAAAAAAAAAAACTCGTATAATTAAATACAAACAAAAAACATTCAAAAATGTATATGTAAATAAAAAACGATGAGGCTTACGAAACGACTCTGTTTAAACATTACTTGATTACATATTTAACAATATGGAGTAGGTATAAAGATTTGTGAAAGATGATAGTTGTACTTGTTTTCTACAAATAATAGAAGAAGAATCAAATTAGTCAAATAAATAACAGAGTAACTTATAAAATTTCTTTTAGCTTTATCAGCACCTGATTTAAGACCATTTGAAAAGTACATGTAAGCTTACTAGCCATGATACTCGTTTGTTAAATGAATACAAATAACAATGAAAATACGCTATAAGATCTAAACAAAAAAAAACGACATTTACTTGCTGATCTTTGTGCTATGCTATGTACGCCAAGAACAGAAAAGATAAAAATAAATATAGTTGTCATGACAGGACCGCACCCACTTACCGATTGTAACACGTGCTTTTTTCACGTGATGACGTAATAACGCAATAACTTAAATTAATAAACATTTATACGTAAGATAAAGTGTCTAGTAGAATGTTCCTGATAAACGATCATACGTTTTTTGAATATAAAGCGAAAGAAAATATAATTATTTATCAAAATTAATTAAATAATATCAATCAGAAAATATAGTAAAAATAGTACAATGCAAAAGCAAAAAAAAGTAAAAAATAACGACATGTGATATTTACTCTATCTCTCTCTTTCCTTCTACTATTATTTGTATCTTATTGTCTCATAATTTACTGTGAATACCTAGCTAGGCGGTACCTTGCTCTTTTTTTGTATATCTGCTATGATGTATATATTTTTTATTGGCTGCAACGTATAATATTTAATCCTATCACTATTCATCAATACTTATTTCTGCTTTAAATACAAAAAAAGGATAATTTCAAAGATGGACAGATTCTGATGTATGGATCGAGTAATAATTATGAATTAAAATAGTTGTTGGAAGATTGAAGAAACTAGGGACATCTACAGAAGTATTGAAAACTAAAAGCTTCATTATTTAAGAATTGACCATTTGATAAAATATAAGACATTCTGATAAAATGAATGTCTGTGCCACGGTTCGATGGTCATAGTCATCTTTTGAATAACTTTCAATCAGTTAGGTGTATCGAGCTCGATGAGCAGTGTGAAACTTTTCATAGATAAAAATTCTCGGATACTTCCTACTAGGTGATAAAAATAGCCTCGCTTATCATCTTCCTTCTGTAGCCGCAATATGTACGATAGTGCTAAAACTTGTTCTACAAGTTCCAGATAATGTTTTAAGTGCGTAATTTTTTTGTTGTAACAAAATATTGTATCGTTAATTTTTGAAGGAGTTAAAAAGTCTTCGACTCCATTCTTTGTTGATTAGTAAATGGGTTCTCAGGTTAGAAAAATTATACGACGATATCAGTCCAAGTTGCAATTCGGTCAAAAATAACGAGTTCTTACAATATACTTTGACCATGCAAAGACCGTGGGTGTGGGTGGGTGGTGTGGGTGTGGGTGGGTGGTGTGGGTGTGAGTGTGAATGTTCGAGTGGGTGTGTTTATTGTTTTTCTCATAACCCACACCCAAAATCTAGAATAAGAAGATATTTCGTATCAGCCTATAAAAAAAAATATCATATAGAAAGCAAACAATTTTCTAAATGTATAAACTTATATTTATGGAGATACAATGAAGTGTAATCCGAGGCTTTGCTCATGTACTAGAAACATAAAAATAAAAGACATCTATACTTATTAATTTCATAATGAGTCAATAAATAAATTAATTCAATCTAAAATTAAATGGAGACTCACTATCTTTAATTTATGTTGCAAGAAGTGTCAAAATTCTTGCTTGTAAAAATTCTAACAATTTTGAAACCATAAAGAATGGTCGATGCTAAAATAAATGATCTAACTGATTGCTCTTTCTGTTTTATGATACATTTTAAATTAGTGATTGTCTCATCTGAAGAATTCTGAGTTTATCTCTTTTATTTCAATCATATCGACAGAATCATGCATTATACTCTTTCTTTCAGCATCTACAATGTAATCAGTGTTATAAGGGTGTGAGTATGTTTTCTGTTTACCGACGCCCACACCCACACTCACATCCTAGATGAGACTAACCATTGAT